ATTCTGATATAAACAAATAAACGCTGGTTGAAAAGAGCTCAGTGAGCGCTAACAGAACTCACTAACCCCGTTTTGCTTTCGGGCTCATTCTCGAGCCCCGCCCACAGGCACACAGTGGCCAGATAGCATGTATTAAGCTGTGCGGGCCTCAGTTTATGAAATTAGGTGCATTCAAACGGAAATTGGTCGAATATAACCTTAACGTGCATCTCCCTGATGTCCACTCCGTCTTGAAATACGAAGTCCTCCCCTAAGGCTATTTTGAAGCCTCACACAACGCAAAAGCTCATTTATTGACCAAAAGGTTTTTTCGTGACCAAAACCTTGTCTGCTAAAATGCTGTTTTTAATCCAACCGCAATGCATAGCGTGACATGGAAACTAATACTTGGTCGGGTAACTATGTACGAGAGGAAGTTTTTCGTCACAATCAAACACATTATGAAGGAGGATGCATTACTTACTTTTCTAACCTACACTGGCCACGGGTTTGCGGTAATTTTTTTTAAAAATGAAAATTTGTTTGCTCTTACCTCTGAATTATTAATGACCCTGATTTTGCTCTTCTTATTTTACAGTACTTTCTAATCTTTCAGCATATATGGCACTATTTAAGTGCGCTTGTCTAAACTTGCCTGTTATCTCGCAGTCATGTAGGCCTTTTAAGCAGAAATTTCTAAAGACAATTTTCCATTACAAAAGATGTGAAGTTAGCTACTATTCAACCAAAGTTTATTCGGAAATTGCAGTCTCGCGAGAAACGTACAAACAAGGACAGAAAAGGATGTAATAAAGGAATAAAGTTCGCTATAGGTTGACTTGTTTATCAGTTTTGTGAGCCAGAGTTCAAGTTGACCGTTTCACATCTTAGTGAGGGCACTGAACAGATATACACATCCCATCTACAGTATGGCGAGTGCTGCATACAACATGCCTACGTTTGTAATAGTCTGATCATTACTCCTAAACCGGCGTGGAGGCATTTACAAAAACCTAGAAATAATAATGAGCAGCATTAGGCATATTAATTACTTAAAGAACTATAAGAAGTACAAAGTGTTTATTAAGAAAAATAAAATTTTCCCGATATTGCCCAAGTTCCGGAGACGTAAAAATAACTGTAAATTAGAACAATTAATTTAAACCTTTTCGTAAGCAGAAAACGGAAGGTGACTGATTCCTTTATATAAGAACTTTTCTTTAGTCAAAATATTTTGTACATATTATCATTAGTGGATAACTATTTATTGAATATCGTCGAATAAAGTCTGACATCATTTCGATTGTTTTCAGTGTTTCATTGATAAGCTGATAAATTGCGCTTCTGTTCGACGTTTACATAAAAAGATTTAAAATAAGATATACATAAAAATCATTTACCGAAAATGAGTTTCTGTATACTAGTTCTTATGAAGATGGCCATGCGGCTCATATTTATAAATGCCTCAAAACAGCAAACTACGTTGTGGAGCATGCAAAACGTCCGCAAGATAAATCGGATATTGTTATTCATGGGATTAATAAATAAACTTTCCATAATATGTAACCTCCTTAAAAAGTGCTTTAATTAGACATTCAGCTGTAAATGTCTGTGCATATTAACCTTTTCCAAGGAAGTGTCACAATGCAATTGGAGACTTTTGACAAATTTTAATATACCTGAAGATGAAGGATTCCATTTGACTGGAAATGAAAGAACTTACTTTTCTCTCTATAATGGATTATTTTCTGCATAAGTGGACTAATTACAGGATCTGTTATAAGCTTGCGAATGCAAGAAATACTGGCTATATATGGCCATTTTTTGAAGTATTTATTATTCTTTTGTCTGCCCTGTTTCTAAATGACGCATAAGCGGAACGTATAGTTAACAAAAGAGTATACAGTAG